CAACGAGCCTAGTTTAAAGCCCGCCGGAGGAGGTCCGCCGACATATGAGTGTTCGATGCCCTATTGAGGGGGAGTTTAGGAAAAGAACTCCCTTGGTGATAGCTCTCCTTTCTGGAGAACGCCTGAGCACAAACCATGTGGTTTATTAGAGGAGCTGTTCTGCTCACCTGATTGCATTTGGGTTTCTGAGCTGACTGGTAAAGAGTTTAGGGGGGTCATGCTGTTTGGTCTTTTTGAATGTCTTTAGCCTCAAGAGAGGGACTCAGATTTCACATTGCTGGTGCCAGAATAAATGCACGTGATGGCCTTAGTATGTAGCAGAAGTGTGCAGATCCTGCACACAAAGCCATGGTTTCTTACCCCATATGGCTCCTTAAGAAAAGCAGATCCCGGTAATTGGGTTTGCACTGAGGCTTTTCCTGACTGCTTTACTGGGCAGAATCATTAAAGGAACCATTCCTTCCCAGTCCGTGGAGAGAACATGGGCCTTTTACTCTTTCTGGATGCCATCTCATTTCTGGCAGCATTAGGGAACAAGAGATGCTGCTGATATTGCCAGGGGACAGGGCCTAAAAGGAATTAAGGATGCTGTTTGGAAGTGTTAATGCAAGCGGGATGGCTGTAGGAGCAGGAGGGAGCAGCCTGTATTGTCAGTGGGAGGGAGCTGTGGAGAGAATGACTGGAGGGTCTGTTTAGGGAAGGCAGGTGAGCTCTTTTGGGGCTGAGGGAGTGGGGACCATTTGTGGATTCTGTACTGGGGAGTTAAGGTCTAGCTCCAGTGTACCTTGAGGGAGCTGAGAGGGGCCAGGAAGGGTGCTTGTTTTGTGTCGGCAGGGAAGGCTCGTGGCTGCTGGAATGGCAGGGGTGGTAACATGGTGGTTAAAGTGCATGTTCAGGATGGAAGAGGCAGGAGACAGTGAAGCCTGGGTGTCAAGCAGGAGATGGGAGGGACAGGCAGGACACTTGGATGCAGTTTGGTGCTCAGTATATGAGGGGTTAACACTTCCCTCCTTCCCTCTCATCTCCACATGGAGCCCCAGTAAGGTCCTTCCTTGCCCCTATTGTTGGGCCCAGCACTTTTGCCTGGGGCGAGGAGGCGGGGCAGCATCTAAAATACTGCAGATATTTACATTTTTGTGCTGCCCTCTAAATCAAAACCAGCTTTTGGAATTAGCCACAATGTATTTGAGGGAAGGAAAGTAATTTCCAATCTAATCTGGACTGACAAAAGGACACACGCTGCCAAGCAGAGAGCAACACACGCTCTCTGGGGCCAGGATCCCAGCAGCAGCAGCAAGCATAGGCTGGGGGAGCTGTTCAGAGGGGACGTGCAAGTGGGCACAGGGTCGAGGGGGCTAGCCCATTTACCCAGGGCCAGTGTGTTCTCTATTCTGCCTCAATTCAGGTAAGAATCACGGTTCGCTTCATGTGGATTTCTCCTTTTCTGTGTTCCCTGGGTGATTTGAAGTTTGGGCTGAGGTCTTTTCTAAAGCTTTGCCACTGGTTTCCTGCATGACGCTGGGTAAATCACTGACCCTGGGGCAGATTCGGCTCTGGCGTAAGCGGATCCAGTCCCATTGCCTTTGGTGCAAGCTTTCTGTCTTCACGCTCAAATTAGATTGGTCTCTTTTCCTTTCTCTACCTGCATATAAAATGGGGGCCCTAATCAGAGGGGGAACTATCAGGGTTTGCGCCCTAGGCAGAACCCTGCTAGAGAGTGGGAAGTGGGAGGGTTGTCTGCTGAGTGCCAGAGGGGACAGGGTGCTGAGCTCAAGGAAGAGTGGGAGTCTTGCCTGCTCCAGGGACTCAAACAAGGTCCCTGGCTGTTGGTGCTGCTGCAGCAGGGCAGTCTGCCTGCTCCAGTTGTTGCTGCTACAGTGGCTGTACCATGTCCCTGAACATGGCTGCTGCTGTTGCTGGGGCATGAATTCCCCAGGTGGCTGCCATTCAGGTGCCCCCACTAAGTTGGCACCTACGGCTGGGGCCTCCCTTGCCCACCCTTGTTATGTTACTGCTCCTAATACTGAAGATATTCCCCTTTCCAGGATCTGTCTGTCTAGCAAAGTCTATCTAGCAAAGCACTCTTGGGCCCTGGTAATAAAGGCTGCATAAGCGAGCAGACATTTGCTGTTCATGGCTTTCCAGCAAGTAATCCCCCAGGCATTGCCCCGTCTAGTTGTAAATGGCTCCAAGCAGTAGATCGCCTCCCCTCTCCCTCGGAGAGACCATTCCTCTGTCTAATAGTTTTCACTCTTAGGAAATGCTTCCCGACTATTCATGCTGAAATTCTCCCCTTTGCTCATTTTCTTCCCGTTATTCTTTGAGTCCCCTCTGACCCATTTCTTTCCTTCCTCTGTGTTTACAGCTTCTTCCCCACACTTGTAGCTGGTTGCTGTGTGATAGATTAGTCAGCCTTTGCCCCAATTACACTTAATTGGTTCTCTTTTATCTCCCCTCACAAATCAATCACCTGAATCATACTTGTGGCTTCTCACTGAGGTCCTTAAGTTTGTCTGCATCTTTCTGATGTCTGGGGTATGGCTCCAATCCCCACCCCCACCCTGGTGCATAGTATTCCAAGTGCTGTCTCACTAGATGTGGGTAGGAAAGCACTATAACCTCTGCTTGGTGATGTCTTCCCCTCTCACTGCTAAAGCAAATACAATTTCACCCCCCCCACACACTCTGTTTTGCTCCCCGAAACTTGCTCCCTGCTCTCCCTGTTATCTGCCTGGATCTATGGTCCCTGCATGGCTGTCCCTCTGGATGGCAGTTCTCCCCTCCCCCTAGTCCAGCCGCTTCTGCTCTGTCTCACCCGAGAACATTGTCTTTCTCCTTTGCTTACGCTTGACTGTCTCCCTGAAGCGCCATTTGATGGTGTGCAGGGAGGGCACCCTAAAGATACAAAACGTATTGTTGTCTGTGAGTAACCATGACATTTGTGCAGAGGGGTGGCTGGGGTCTGGGCAGTTCTTCTGGCAACTGGAATTGTGCACACCCAGCTTCACAGCTCCCCTTGCCTTGCAGGAGGCTGATGAGATACCCAGCCCTTGGCAGTCACTGCTGCAGGTGCAAGCAAGGCCTTGTTCTTTGAAGGATCCCACAGTGCATTGCAGGCAGTCTTTGGCCTCTGCAGAAGGGTGGTCCTTTGTGGAAGGCATTAGACATTAGTTATTGGATTCTTTCCCAGGTCACATACTTCCCATTGGACCTAGAATAAGTCCATTGTGTGTGTGTGTGTGTGTGTGTGTGCGTGTTTCTCCATTTCTGAAGGGGGCATAACCTTTTTCCACCATATGAAGGTGTTCTAAGGCCATATATATAACAGTAGGGGTTAATGTATATACTGTTAGGGGTTAACAGTAGGTACACGTATATAACGGTAGGGGTAACTCGCCTGCAGCTGAAGTGCAGCCACCTCTGGGGTGATGCTTGTCAGCAGTGCAATGCAGCAGTGGCAGTGTCACAGACAATGCAAACTCTTCTTTGTCATTGAGATGGTCCCAGAGAATTCTAGGAAAGCGTAATGCAATGGTGCAAGCTGGATTTTGGAAAGGACGTGAGTCCTGATGCATCTGCTCCCCTTGAGAAAGGGCCACAGGATGCTTCTGATAATTGGCAGCAGCTGGACCGCACTCTGTTCTGTGGTGGGGTTGATAGTGACTCAGTGGAGAGACCTCTGCTGAGGCAGCAGCATCTGTAGGAGTCCAGGATTTCCCTGGAGGCTGACCAAGCCATCGCTGTAGCTGGGGGCTGTTATAAGTAGCTAGTGCTATGTACATTGACTCTCTTGTGTAGTCTCTGGAGTAATGGCTTAGGCCTAGCATATAACAGGGTAGGTCCTAGGGCGATCTCTAAGGCTACTATGTCTATGCCTGACCTGATTTCTCTTCTTTGCCTTCTGTCTTTTCTCAGCCACTCCTTTTGTACAGTGACACCGTGCTTTGGCTTGGGAAGGCACAACGCATCGGACTTGGGCCTTGGAGCTCCCACCAGGTGTGGGGTGTGATTTTCGGAGATGGTAGAGTCCCCTGAGGAGCTGCATGGATCCTAACACTGCATTCAAGGGGAGGAGGCAAGTGGCAGGAATGGGTTGGCTGTGGATGGTTTGTCTCTTTCACCTGGCCGCCTCTTTGGAAGGTAAGAACTGGTTTTATTCACGGAAACTTCATTTTGAAGCCTGCCGTGGGTGTGGGTGTGGGTGTGTGGTGGGGGGGGAGCGGCTGTGGAGGAAGCTGTGCAGGTTCCAGCACCGTCGCCAGCTCCACCTGGGTAGGAACTGAAGCTTATTTCTGTTTGGTTGTTCATTAACTCATGAGATGGGTGGGGGGAAGAGCGGGGTGTCTGTCTTAGTTCTGTTCCCAGTGGGGCAAGCATCCACATCACAGCAGTACTCCATCAATTACTCTGTGCAGGGACTGAATTGCCTGCATGCTTCTTGTAGATAAGGCACTTGGTGCGGGCCCTGGGTGGGTGAAGGGTCCTGGATGTGTGGGGAGGCTCATAGCCTCGTGTCCTGCCTGCTTTATAAGATAGGGTCTCTCAGACTGGAGTTACAAACTTGTGCCCTGACAGAGCCAAACACTTGCCCTCAAACTGTGAGGATGAGGGTAATGTACTGCACTGGAAACAAGAAGCGGCAGAGGCTAAACCAAGGGAGGAGGGGAAGGGGAGTGAGGCCAGAGTGCTGACAAGTGTGGGGTGACTGGGGAGGGGGAGATAGGAGAGAGGAAGGTGAGAGAGATGGAGGGAGGGAGAGAGTGAGAGGTGGAAGGGGTGGTGTTGTCAACAGCCCCCTCGTTTGTGCCAAGGAGAATCCCTGCGGCCACATATGCTCACTGACCCGCACAGGTTTGTGATGAATGCTCATCTCTCACTCATACGTGAAAGCCTTAGAGAAGGAGGGAGGGCAGGGGCTGCAAAACAGGAGGGAGGTGAGGAAAGGCAGGCATGGAGAGAGGGAAGAAAGGAGGAGGACACAGGGACAAAAGGGGAGGGGTCCTGGCGGCCTGGGGCTTGGAGGAAAAGCAAGAACCATATCCACAGCAAAGAGGAAGAAGTGCCATCCCGAGGATCCTGGCTGTAGAGAGGAGGGGTGCTTTTCGAGCGGAGATGGGGCAGTAGGCAAAGATGTATTGCATAAATCAGTGTTGTGCACAACATGTCTCTCTGAAAAAGGAGCACATGCTCCATGAGTGGGGAGAGTGACTGGTCTGGGTGTAGAGCTTGTGGGGCTGACCAGCCAGAGGGGTGCATTGCACTCTATGAGGCATCATCGGTGCTTGGGGAACTGCTGGAGTTAGAGCTCCAGCTGCAGACTCTTGCGGGTATAGGAGACAGCGAGGTGTTTAAATTTTGGTCTTTCAACCTGAGCTGTCCTTGCAGAATTATGGGGTATAGCACTGTGTTGGGAACAAATTGCTGTCCTTGCACCCTCCAGATTGCTGTTCTTGTTCAGTCTTAAAGAGCTTTACCAAACAAGGGCAATTGTCCCTCACTTCACAGATGGGGAAACTGAGACACAGAGTGGGGGGGTGACCAGCTGATGGCCACCCAGCAAGTCAGTGTCAGTAGGGAAAGAACTTCCAAGCACCCCTTGGAATTGCCCTTCCTGAAATTCAAAGAACCCCTTGCTGATCTTCAGTCCATAGCAGTGAATGAAGCCACAGGTAACAAAGTAATGAGCTTCACAGAGCAGAGCTGGATTTTCCTAGGTGGGGGTAGGAGCTATACACCCATGTGTTACAGAGAGAAGATGCCTGTACACAAGCATGGAGGTGGCTTCAACATGCTGTAATTACAGTGCGTCAGAGCAGTTTTGATTAATTGAGTCTACTGGAGCGTGGCAATTACTGCACTCAAGCAGCCTCCTGTGTCTCGTGTATCAGTGTCCCTGTGCTTCAAACTGGCGGCAGGGGCGCTTGAATTAAAGCTTGTTCAATGAGCCCCTGCCGCCACTTTGAAGCACAGAGATGCTGATACATGAGATGCTGCAGTGCTTTAATTACGGCAGCTCTCAGAGCCGCTCCAATTAAAGCACTGCCCCCCCGCCCCCAGCACGTGTAAAAGTGCCCCCAGGGTCTGAGGAGCTGACCTGGGACCTTCTCATGCAGATGCCTCGTGGCCTGATAACACAGCTTCCAAGATGATCTGCATCTTGGGCTGAGATGCCCCTTTTCCTCTTGACAGGCAGGGGGCAGAGAAGTGCTTGTCACCTTGGTGGGAGCAGCAGCTAACCCACTTATTCCTGTGAGGTGACCTAGTGAGCAGAAAATGGACTGGTGCTCCTTGTGCTGCTTTCTGATGCATGAAGGAGGCCTGAAATTTAGACGCAGAAGTTAGATCAAACAATGGTGTTCTTTGGTTCCTGGAAGTTTCAGCTGCTGACTGTAATATTTCTCATTGTCTGGGTGGGACAGTGTGTATGGATCTTCAGAGGAGAGTCCTTTCCCCCCAAGTGTTTCTCAGACTCAGAGATTGTAAGGCTGGACGGGATCTCGGAAGATCACTGGGTCCAGCCCCCTGCACCAAGCAGGAAAGATAAGTGGGGGTCAGGTGACCCCAGCAAGGTGACGCAGCCTGCACGTGAATCGCTTCCCAGTGTCTGCCCCAGTGAGCTTGCATGACCATACTCCTACCCATTCTCTAATAGTGGAGAAAAAAAGCGTAAAAGACCTCCATGTGCCATGCTAAACAAAGAAAAAGAAAATAGATGTGGCATTTAGGGATGGAGAATTAAAAATAACACAAATATTCCAGCTGTCTTCCCATGTATGAGAGGGGTGAAAGAACAATATTTTCTTTTCCTTTGCAGATTACCTTTAAGACATCTGCAAAAACTACTTCACGGTTAGGGCGGCTAGGAGCTGGAACCAACTTCCAAGGGGAGTGGTGCTGGCCCCTACCCTGGGGGTCTTTAAGAAGAGGCTGGATGCCTACCTGGCTGGACTCGTTTGAGTCCCATTTCTCTTTTTGGGGTTTTTTGTTGTTCTCCCGCCCTGGCGGGGGGTCGGGCTAGAAGATCTACTAGGTCCCTTCCGACCCTTAATCTATGAATCTATAAGACCAACTTTATCAGGCGGTAATGGGGAAGACACCCTTTTACACAGTTTGATGGGGGTTGGGACTGCAAACCGAAGGCGACATTTCCCCCAGCAATTCAAAATGGACCTCTGTTTTTTCTGCGTAGTAGGAAAATATTAGACTGAAGCTATTTTATGCCCTTTGGCCTCTGGTATCTCCAAAGTAGAACTAGTCTGTCTTACATTTCACAAACAAGATTGTCAACCAAAATAGAACTTCTTTGGAAAATTTGAGGTATTTTGGGAGAGGGGACCTTTCTTGTAGCCTGGGCAGGTTCCTTGAACATTTTAAGTGGTGCTGTCACCCAATTGCTGGAGTGAAGATTCCAGCTTTCTTTGTAATGCTGTTTCCTATATTCATAGTGTTAAGAAGTTGCCACATTTGAGGCTCAGCTGCATTTTGGTTTGAAGGTGTGTTCCTTTCCTCCACTTCCCTTTGAAAGATTAAACCTTTTTTTGAGTGAATGAAGGGGGAAAATATTTTCCTTTTAATAAAAAAAACATCAATCGGCTTGTTATAGGATAACAGAATTAAGAACAGGAAATACTTTTGTGTTATGAAAAGCACCAATGGAAATCTTGCAACTTCATGGTGCTGTAATACAGTGCAGCACTGTGGCAAAAAAGGCTGTGTGATTAGGGGATTGCAATTAGGCAGTGAAATAGCCCTCACTGAGGACCAGTGTGAAGTCTCATTCCACAAGATACTGGTTTTGATCTGACCGAGTTTTAAATGTTTGAAATTGCTTGCTGTTCGTGCAGAGCATTTTGAGGGTTTTTTTTCTCCCCCTGCTAAACTCATTATATACACACTTAAAGAATAATGTGTTCTGCATGTACAAATAGATAATTTTACTTTAGAGTGGGTGCATCTACACATGAGCTTAACTGCAGTAGACTAATTTGATGCAGTATAAGGTGTCACCGTCTACACACGCAACACTATTAGACCTCAGCAAGCTATTTTTTGCTGCTGTAAAATAGTAGTGTTGGCGACACTATGATCTTACGGTGGTGAAGATAACTGCCCCTGTAAATGCTGTCCCAGGTGTAAATTGTGTCCAGTCAGTCCAGGCAGTATGGGGCCATACCTTTGCCTGATGGTTGAGCACACTGCTTTGCCCTTTCAGCACTCTCATGCTCCAGCCAGACCCAACACCATGACTTGAAGCCCAGGGCTGGCCCCCTTCCCTCCCCTACACACAAGACTGCTGCCAAGGGGCCACTCTGCCATGGCTCAAACTGCTACAGTCCCAGGTGCTCGTGTCCCTGGTGCAAACTGTACCAGAGTTAATAGCATCACACTAATAACATGTATAGATGCACCCAGAGAGTTGTTCAGACTCCAGAATGGATACAGCCTATAGAATGGGTTCATTGCATCTTTAGCATAAAAGTGGTGAACTGGGCATTGCCACATTTTACCCCTTTCTACCTTTTATATTGACTGGTGAAAAACAGTCAGTAGTGTTTATAATGTCTGTAGTATTCATAGTAAACCAGTCAATGGTTTATAGTGAAAACCCTCTCAAGTGATTAACAATAACCAAATGATTCTTGGAAGTGGTCTTACAATGCCATAGAGAAGAATCATACCTTTGAAACATTATGTTAGAAGTCATCTGCAAAATCAAAAACTTTGTCTCCTGAAATAGGCATATGCCTTCTTTGCTTGATTCTTTATTTGTGAAGAAAACTTGACATTGATTTTATTTTTCTTTTAAGGAAATGGAAAGCTTTCGGCTTTATTCCGAGTGCATGTGTTTCATATTAGATATTCAGGGCTGGTATCGATTGGAAGACTCTATAATCAGTAAAGAACTAGTGAAATGATGACCTTACAAGAGGCAAGGTACTAGAGAGTTAGCAATTAAAAGGAGAAGGCGTATTGGCAACCTGTTTAAAACTCTTGTTGATGTTGTTGTTAGTGCCTATTTATTATCACCAATGCCTAACGACCGTTTTGATGAAGAGCATCTGACCCATCTGTTAAAACTTGAAGTCTCATTACATACATCTTCTGAGACATCCAGCAAGTGTTCCAAGGAAGACCTGAGC